ACTTTGTTGAGCTCGTCAACCCAATTAGAATGCGTAGCCAAAACGCGTGTCTTGAGGCCTCGCAAGACGATTTTATTGGCGGACTCAGCTTGCCCGTTGGACTGTGGAGTATATACGGATGTCAATGCGAGCTCAATGCCATAGTCGTCACAAAATGATCTCAGCGCTGCTGCTCGGAACTGTGGCCCATTGTCAGCGATAATTCGCTTAGGTATGCCGAACCTGCACACAGATAGACGAACAGCTGAGCAATGACTGTGTTTGCCTGTATTTTATTTGTGATCTAAGTCACTAAAGAATACCTGCACAATATGGAATTGAACAAGAATTCTTCGATTTTCCTTTCTGTTGTCGTGGATAATGGTTTAGCCTCTATCCACTTGGTGAAGTAATCCACCGCAACGACCAGGAAAATGCAGCCTCCTTTGCCTTTGACGAATGGACCGAGCAGGTCGACGCCCCATTGAGCAAAAGGCCAGGGAGACGTAAGAGATGATAGCATTTCCCCTGTTCGAAGAGAGGTACTTATGCTCAGTTCATAGGCAGTTACTAGGTTAGAATAAACTGTAGAACGAGCTCGGATACCTGGCATGTGGATATCATCAGCATTGAATTGGCAGGTCGGGCACTTTTTGACATAGCCCTGCGCGTCTTCGACCATAGTGGGCTAGTAATAACCATGCCTCAGCAATTTCCGAGCCAAAGTTCTGCCACCGATGTGCGTGCCACATACTCCCTCGTGAACTTCTCTCACGGCGTATTCAGCCTCGTAAGGAGTAAGGCAGCGTAATAGGGGCATTGAGGCTGCTCGCTTGTAGAGCTGGTTATCTAACACAGTGAAATGTGCCGCCCTGCGTTTAATCACCTTTGCGGCGGACTGGTCTTGGGGTAGCTCGCCACTTTGTAGATAATTCATAAGCGGGGTGGTCCAGGTCGGTGTAGAGGGGTCTGTACTTAATAATTGGCACTCGACTGTGAAATCAGTGTAGCTTGGTGCGTCAAGCACCTCGACGATTGTCGATCTTTGAGGGTTAATGTCCTGCGAAGAAGCCAACTTTGACAGCTCGTCAGCTCGCTGGTTATCTGCTCGCGGTATTTTGTCAATTTGAAATGAAGCGAACCTGGACTTCAATCTGTTGACCACAGAAGCATAGCGACCGAGCTGAGGATCCCTTATGTCGCAACTGCCATTCACCTGGAGGACGACGAGCTGAGAGTCGCTAAAGACCTGAATGCTTTGTACCTTCAGCTCGGCCGCCAGCTTCAATCCATATATGAGGGCCTCATATTCTGCAGCATTATTGGTCGTCTGAAACTTAAACCTCAGCGCATGCTCAGACCTGAAACCATCAGGGCTTAGTAATACAGCTCCAGCACCAGATCCTTCGACATTAGTAGCTCCATCCACATACAAAACCCAAAGTGGGTGTTCAGGTGCCTTTTCTTTCACAGCCGTCGGGGCACATTCAACTAGGAAGTCTGCCACAGCTTGGCCTTTTATAGTCGTGCGCGGCTGAAACTCAAGGTCATATTCGCTCAGCTCGACACTCCATCCGATGAGCCGACCAGAGAGCTCTGGCTTCTGTAGTATTTTCCTTAGCGGGAAATCAGTATACACAACAATCTGGTGTGATTGGAAGTAGGCTCTCAACTTACGAGCTGTGGAAACCAAGGCAAAAGCAGCTTTTTGTGCTAGTGGGTAGTTCTGCTCGGCACCTTGTAACACCTTACTCACGTAGCAGATAGGCTTCTGATGTTTGTTTTCTTCCCTCAGTAGTACTGAACTCACTGCTTCCTCCGTTACCCCCAGATAAAGATACAAACACTCTCCCTCGACAGGCTTGGACAGCAGGGGTGCGGATGCCAAATACCGTTTGAGCTCGTCAAATGCTTGTTGACATTCAGTAGTCCACTGGAAGTTCTTAGGCTCCCGAAGAGCTTTGAAAAACGGGAGGCATTTTTCTGCCGATCTGGCTACAAACCTGTGCAGCGCAGCAACACGGCCTGTTAAACGCTGCACGTCTTTGACGGTTTTGGGTGGCTCCATCTGCTGAACGGCCTCAACCTTTTCCGGATTTACCTCAATTCCTTTCTTGGATACGACATATCCTAGGAATTTTCCCGACTCTACGGCAAATGTGCATTTCAAGGGATTCAGCTTCATTTGTGCTCGGCGCAAATTCTGAAAAGTTTCATCCAGGTCGCCAATGTGATTCTCAGCTCGCACGCTGGTGACTATCATGTCATCTACATATACTTCTATGTTCTTGCCGATCTGGAGCTTAAAGATGATTTGCACCAGCTTCTGGTATGTTGCTCCAGCATTTTTGAGGCCAAATGGCATCATGACATAACAGTAGATAGCATCTCCCGCGTAGAAAGCTGTTTTCTCCTGGTCGTCCAACAGCAGCTGAACCTGGTGATAGCCCGAGCTGGCGTCAAGAAAACTCATCCGTTCATGCCCAGCTGCCCGCTCCACCAACTTCTCAACGTTTGGCAAGGGATGAGGGTCCTTTGGGCACGCATCATTGAGGTTGGTGAAATCAATACACATCCTCCACTTGCCATTTGGCTTTTTGACGAGCACAGGGTTGGACACCCATTCAGAATACTCTACTCTTCTGATGAAGCCTGCCTGTGACAACTTTTGTATCTCCTCGTCAATGGCAGCTTGCTTCTCAGGGCCAAAAAGGCGACGCTTCTGTACCACCGGCCTCCTGGTGGGGTCTGTGCTGAGCTTGTGGACTGTTAACTCTGCCGGAATGCCGGGCATCTCGTCCGTAGTCCATGCAAACACATCCTGATTATTCCTCAAGAATTCTAGAAGTTCTGCCCGCTCTTTGCCTGTAAGTTTAGTGCCGATCTTCACTGTCCTTTCGGGCACATCCGGGTTCAAAGGCACCGTTTCTACTGGCTCTACTGGCTCTGCCTTCTGCTCGACGCTCTCAGGTCGATGCTCAATATCTGATATGCTCATCGTCTGCTGACCATGCTGGGTTGGCTTTCGACCTTCAACACTCGCTGGGGCTGCAGCGAGCTCGACTTTCCTGAACGTGTCTTGATAACAGGCTCTAGCCATCTTCTGATTTCCTTTCAGCACCCCTACCCCCTGAGGAGTTGGGAACTTCATACAGAGGTGGGGCTGCGAGATCACAGCCTTCAGCTCGCACAGTGTGGCTCTTCCCAGTATAGCATTGAAAGCTGATTCCATCTTAACGACCAGGAAGGTGACGGAAGCCATCCTGAAGCGTGGTTCTGAGCCCACATATATAGGGAGGGTAACAACTCCTTCAACTGGGACGGGCTGGTTATCAAACCCGTATATTGGTCCTTCATGCTTCTGAAGCGAGCTCGGATTTAGCTGCATCTTCTGGAAGCAACCCCAGTATAGGATATCTGGTGAACT